TCTAATGCTTTGAAAAGCCTCTCTGCCGATCAGGCAACTCAGCTGGGATCGTCAGAGACTTTTCAAAGCATTTTTTTTTACCACCTCTTCAGCCAAGAGATTGCAGGAAAAAAAATGCTTTGAAAAGCCTCTGATGATCCCAGCTGAGCTGCGCGATCATCAGAGGCTTTTTTTTTACTTTTAAGAGCATTTTTTCTCGTCGGAAGAGGTTGTAGAAAAAATGCTTTAAAAGTAAAAAAAAAAAAAAGCCTCTGATGATCGTGCAACTCAGTTGAGCATGGGGGGGGAGGCGGCACAGGGATTTTTGCTACGAACCACCCACCACCATCGCTACCGGATCTGGCGATCCGGTCCGAACCGGCAGCATTTCACCCCTGGCTTGGGCCGTCTGTCATCCCTCAAATGGAGAGTCAACAGCCCCCAGGTCTGGAGGTGGCTGATGAGGAAGAGGAGGAACAGCTGGGTCCAGTGCCTGACGTGTGGAAGTGCAGAAGGCAGAGGAAAGGAGAGCAGGGGAAATCTATGGGCCGGTCCTTGGGATGGAAGAGCCACCGCTGCTAGTGAAGCCCCACCCTAGGATAAAAGGCAGGGGGCAGAGATGAATAGATGTGGCAGACAACTATTCAACCTCTGGCCAGCCAGACTAGTTAGCCTGCGGTGAGAGAGAAACTTTTTGCCGGGGCTGCTGGCGCTCCTAATAAAGGAATCATCGATTTAACTTCAGAGGGTTTGTCCTGTTCGGGGAACTCGCTCAGAACAGGATGCTAAAACGGTCATAAGTGTGAAAAACGGTCCTAGGTCACCTTGGTTAGTGCTGTTGTAACTTCAAACGGTCCCTAAATGAACTGTCGTAAGTCGAGGACTGCCTATAACACAGAAATGGCACAGAAATGGGAAGATTCGACAACACACGACCCTCAATGGCTGTGGAGGTTGACAGATTTTGCCAAAATGGCTCAAATAACTTCTCTGATGAGAGAAAAAGGCTGACTATTGGGGGCGAGTCATTGGCCCCCACCGAGAGGGCTCACAACTTAGGTGTCCTCCTGGACACGCGGCTGTCTTTAGAAGAGCATATGACAGCCGTGACCAGGGGAGCTTTCTATCAGGTTCGCCTGATTCGCCAGTTGAGTCCCTTTCTAGATCAGGACTCCTTACGCACAGTCACTCATGCCCTCGTCACTTCCCATCTGGACTACTGTAATGCTCTCTACATGGGGCTCCCCCCTTTTTTTTTTTTAATTTTTTATTGAAAATTATTAAAAAATACAGAAAAAAATATAATAATATGGATAGAATTGCAGAGAGTAATATAATACATATAGAGTTTTAAAGTATCAATTTTCGCCTGGAGAAAGTACAAACTTCCATTAAGCTGACTCATCTAAAGAAAGAAAAGTTTAACTAGAAAAAAGAATTCTCAATTGTCATGCAATACTCCTGTAAATATTTATCCACGTTCACATTAAGGTTAATATTTTCATTTTTCTTAAGATTTCTTTTCTTTTCTTTTCTTTTTTGGGACAGATGGTATGCTTGGCTGCAAAAAAAAAATACATGGGGCTCCCCTTGAGGTGCACGCGGAGGCTCCAACTGGTCCAGAATGCAGCTGCGCGGGTGATATTGAGAGCAACATGGCGCTCACATGTAACACCTCTCCTACGCGAGCTGCACTGGCTCCCAGTGGCCTTCCGAGTGCACTTCAAGGTGTTGCTTCTTACCTTTAAAGTGCTCCATGGCTTAGGACCTGGGTACCTACGAGACCACCTTCTGCAACCGATAACCTCCCACCAACCAGCACGCTCCCACAGGGTGGGCCTTCTCAGGGTGCCATCACTAAAGCAATGTCGACTGGTGGTTCCCAGAGAAAGAGCCTTTTCTGTGGGGGCACCCGCCCTTTGGAACAGGTTACCCCCAGGGATACGAATGATCCCAGATCTTCGCACTTTCCGTCGTGCACTTAGGACCTTTCTGTTTCACCAAGCCGGGCTGGCATAAATCTCTTCTAATTGTATTCTTAACCGATGAACCAAATTGGCTTAATCATCTTATATTCACATTTTATAAGTATGTTATTTTATCTGTTCACCGCCCTGAGTCCTTCGGGAGGAGGGCAGTATAAAAAATAAATAAATAAATGAATAAATAAATTACAGTATTTCCAAGTGAAAGCCTCTATGTGGAGATTTTGCATAAGAAAGGATAATGATTTTGTGACTAATGGTTTTATGGTTAGAAAGAACAACTTAGAGAAAGAAGGGAATTATGTTGAAATCTTGGAGAGAGAGAGAGAGATCGGTTTAAAATTGTACAAATAACTGCCGAGTAGAAAGATCAGAAGCCATTTCTTTATATATATTTCTGTTTCATGCTTCCTGTTCTTTTATTTTCTTTTTTCTATGTTCTTTCTGGGTTTTTTTTTTTAACGTTTACTATATATTTTTTATTTTCTTTGAATGTATTTCTTCTTATCTATCTGTCTACTTCAATAAAAATATTTCTTTAAAGTGCCAAAGTTTTTTGGGGTGGTGGGGAAGACAGAGAAACAATGAAAGGATGGAGAAGTACTGAGGGGAAAAAAAACCAGGAAATGGTGAAATATGTATATGTCAAGGCAGTAACAAGTAATAGTATAATAGGTTTGGAAGGGACCTTAAGAGGTCTTCTAGTCCAACCCCCTGCTCAAGCAAGAGACCTTAGACCAGTGTTTTTTAACTTTGGAAGTTTGAAGATGGGTGGACTTCAACTCCCAGAATCCCCCAGCCAGTGCTGGGGGATTCTGGGAGTTGAAGTCCACCCATCTTCAAGCTACCAAGGTTGAGAAACACTGCCCTAGACCATTCCGGACAATGGTTGTCCAGTTTCTTCTTGAAGATCTCTGGTGATGGACCAGTCACAACTTTTAATAGATTTAAGAGATTAACAGAGTTGGAAGGGACCTTATAAGTCATCTAGTCCAACCCCCCGCCAAACCAGGAGACCCTACACCATTCTGGCAGATGGCAGTCCAGTCTCTTCTTGGAAGTCTCCAGTGATGAAGCTCCCAGAACTTCTGAATAACAGAATAATAATAAAATAACAGAGTTGGAAGGGACCTTGGAGGTAATCTAGTCCAGCCCCCTCCCCCACCCAAGCAGGAGACCCTACACCATTTCTGACAGGTGGCAGTCCAGACTTCTTGAAAGCCTCCAGGAATGAAGCTCCCACAACTTTCAAAGGCAACTTCTGTTCCACTAGTTGATTGTCCTCACTGTCTGGAATTTTCTCCTTATTTCTATGTTGAATCTCTCCTTGGTCAGTTTCCATCCATTATTTCTTGTCTGGCCTTTGGGTGCTTTGGAGAATAGCTTGATCTCCTTCCTCCTCTCTGTGGCAGCCCCTCAAATACTGGAAGATGCTCTCCTGTCTCCCCTGGTCCTTCTCTTCCCTAGACTAGCCGGGCCCAGTTCCTGCAACCGTTCATCGTATATTTTAGCCTCCAGTCCCCTCATCATCCTGGTTGCTCTTCTCTGCACTCTTTCTAGAGTCTCAACCTCTTTTTTATAGGGCCCCCTTTCCTCTTCTCACGTTCAGACCAGGGGTGAAATGCTCCCGGTTCAGACCGGATCGCCTGATCCGGTAGCGATGGCGGTGGTGGTTCGGAGAACCGGTAGCAAAAATCCCTGCAACACCCCCCCCCACTATGCCCAGTTGAGCCGCAGGATCATCAGAGGCTTTTTGTATTTTTTTTACTTTTAAAAGCATTTCTTCTACAACCTCTTCCGCCGAAAAAATGCTTTTAAAAGTAAAAAAAAAGCCTCTGATGATCGCACGGCTCAGCTGGGATCGTCAGAGGCTTTTCAAAGCATTTTTTCTACAACCTCTTGGCTGAAGAGGTGGTAAAAAAATGCTTTGAAAAGTCTCTCACGAGTTGCCTGATCAGCAGAGAGGCTTTTCAAAGCATTAAAAAAAATGCTTTGAAAAGTTAAAAAAAAAAAAGTTGGCCATGCCCACCCAGTCACATTACCCCCACACACACACCAAGCCACACCCACAGAACCGGTAGTAACAAATTTTACATTTCCCCCCTGGTTCAGACCAAACACCCTCCTCTCCCAATCCTGCAAACACTCTGGAAAGAGTGCAGAGAAGAGCAACAAAGATGATTAGGGGGCTGGAGACAAAAATATATGAAGAACGGTTGCAGGAATTGGGTTTGTCTAGTCTAGAGAAAGGAAAGATTAGCGGGTGGCATGGTGGGATATTCCAGTATTTGAGAAGCTGCCACAAAGAAGGGGGGGAGGTTTCAATCTATTCTCCAAAGCACCTGAAGGCAAGACAAGAAGCAAGGTATGGAAATTAATCCAGGACAGAAGCAACCTGGAACTAAGGAGAAAACTTCTTAACAGGGAGGACCATTAACCAGTGGAACAGCTTGCCACCAGAAGTTGTGGGTGCTCCATCGCTGGAGGCTTTTTAAGAAGAGTCTGGACAGCCACTTGTCTGAAATGGTATAGGATCTCCTGCTTGAGCAGGGGGTTGGACTAGAAGACCTCCAAGGTCCCTTCCAACACTGCAATCCTGTAATTTCTTTTCCATAGTTGATATCTTGCCTTGGAAACAAGGTAGGTTTACCCAGTGGAAATGCTAAGCTTTGTATTAACATAACTAAAGGCTGAATGCACACATCTGTATACAAGTGTACTCAGCTAGGTGGCTAAGACGCTGAGCTTGTCGATCAGAAAGGTCGGCAGTTCGAATCCCTAGTGTCCTGCGTGAGCAGGGGGTTGGACTAGATGACCTCCAAGGTACCTCCCAACTCTGTCACTTGTCACTGTAGCTACCTCCAGGTTTCAAAGGGATGCCTCGGTTGTCACGCAGCTCTCTATTTGGAACAAGGTCCTCCGCAGAGGCACAAACCTGTTCTGTCCAAGGAAAGGGAATAGCCCAGTAAATAAAACGACTGTCGGAAGCGAAATATTTTGCTTGACATCCAAATGGGACACTTAGCCAGTACTTACCGTCTCTGCAGGCTGGTTCTGCCTTCTTTTGGCTGCTGAAGCAGATGCAAAAAAAGACAACAACCCCCAAAAAAGGGGGGGGAGAAACGACAAGAAAGTGTCTCTGTGTGTGTGCGTATGTGATTCCGTGGCTCACCGGCACTCACCGTCCTGCCACCCGTTTTGTGGTTGTGGGTTTGTGAAGGTCACTGCAGGCACGCTGCGGAGTGCTTTGTCCTCTTCCTGCTTCCAGCTTCCAAGAATTTTATTTAAAGGTGCCTCTTCCTTTTCCATTCTCTTCCAATCACGCAGACGGCTACCCATCTTTCTCCCACCGACCACTGGCAATCTGGTTGGGTACCAGATGCTGTTCTGGGCAGGACAGGGGCCCCTCGCGGTGGAGAGCCTCCCCCCAGCCATCTGCATAGCTCGGCGGGGAGGAAGACGAAGGGCTCCGAATTTGGAAGTCCCCCTCTTTGCCACTCTTATTTTGGTCGTTTTTGAGTGGGGAAGTGGCAGGGAAGCATGGATCCGGCAGGGTGAGCCTTAACCGAAGCATTAAGGCCTCCAAGGAGCATCATTTCATCACGCCTCTCATTGGCTCAGCGTGGGCTCAAATGAGGTCGGCAGATGACCTGTGGGAACCGTCTCGGGAGACAAGAGGAAAGAAAGGAAACCAGAGAGAAAAGGGGCATGGGAAGCCACTGAAAGAAAACGATTTCGGGCTTGCAAGATTCTGTTCATCTGAGCTCAGTTAGAAGATATTGTCTTCCTTGGCTGGACCAGGGTTTCTCGCCCTTAACAACTTTTAAGATGTCTGGGCTTCCAACTCCCAGAATTCCCCAGCCAGCTATGAAGTCCGCCCAGCTTAAAGTTAGTTGCCAAGTTTGGAAAACACGGATGTAGTCTGTGACTGAGCTGGCAAGGAAGTGCAAATTCATAAGGATTTGGTCCCTCGCTGGGAACACAAGAGGACACGTCTTCTGGTCGACTATGTACCAACAGATGAGACTATCGATAGCTGTGGGGCCCTTGGTGCTCTCTTGAGTTTGGTTGTTTCCTTGCAGGCGTTTCATTCCCCAACTAGGGAACATTATCAGTGCTGGAAGGGAGTTGGGTTTGAGGAGGAGGAGGAGGAAGAAGAGGAGGAGGAGGAGGAAGGAAGGAAGGAAAGAAGGAAGGAAGAGGAAGAGGAGAAGGAAGGAAGAGGAGGAGGAAGGAAGGAAGGAAGAGGAGGAGAAGGAAGGAAGGAAGGAAGGAAGAGGAAGAGGAGAAGGAAGGAAGAGGAGGAGGAGGAAGGAAGGAAGGAAGGAAAGAAGGAAGGAAGGAAGGGGAAGAGGAGAAGAAAGGAAGAGGAGGAGAAGGAAGGGAGGAAGGAAAGGAATGAAGGAAGAGGAGGAGAAGGAAGGAAGGAAAGAAGGAAGGAAGGAGGGAGGGAGGGAAGGAAAGAAGAAAGGAAGGAAGAGGAGAAGGAAGGAAGGAGGAGGAGGAAGGAAGGAAGGAAGGAAGGAGGGAGGGAGGGAAGGAAAGAAGAAAGGAAGGAAGAGGAGGAGAAGGAAGGAAGGAGGAGAAGAAGGAAGGAAGGAAGGAAGGAAGGGGGGAGGGAGGGGGGAAGGAAAGAAGAAAGGAAGGAAGAGGAGGAGAAGGAAGGAAGGAAGATGGCTGCGGTGTCCTTAATGTTCTCTAAGCCTGGTGATTCTTTTGCAGGCGTTTCATTACCCAACTAGGGAACACCATCAGTGCTAGAAGAGAGTTGGGTTGGAGGAGGAGGAGGAGGAGGGGGAGGAGGAAGATGGCTGTGGGGTCTTTGATGTTCTCTGATGGTGATTTTCTAGCAGACATTTCATCACCCAACTAGATAACATCATCAGCGCCAGCAGGGAGTGGGGTATGCTCTCACTTTATGTTCTAGAGGCTTGCCTTGTCAGTGTTGGTGGGAGTGACCATGTCCTTGTGGAACAATGCTCCTAATGTTTACAAAACATATAATGGGCAGCAAGTGATTCTTTTCCACTCGACCATAGACAGAAAGTGCCAGGGAGTCCAAGGAAGACGGAGCCCATAATTTCCTTCCTCTACGCTCATCCAACACAGAACTCTTCTGAGGTTGCAGGAATCTTGCAGGAACCTGGGACATGCTGAGCTAGCGCCCAGAAAAAGGGAAACCTAAGTTGGGGTGTTACGGAAGAATCGTGGTGGCTGTTTCTTGAACGAGCAAATCCCACAAGGCAGTCATATCATGAGCATGCCCACAACAACATGGTCTCTAAACTGCGACTGTGTCATGTGTCCCCCGAGGAAGAAACACAAAGTGTCACACAGTGCAGTGGTAGGTGGAAAAGACTGTGAAAGATGGAGCGAAGAGAGCTGATAGATAAGAGACAGCTTAGCCCTCAGCTGTACAACGGGTTGAAAAAGAAATTCTGAAGAAACCCTCCTTAGCTTCCCAAGGATGTCAAACAGACGATGGGAGATTTGTACTTTCATACTTGTAAAATTCTGTTAATGTATAGTAGCTTTAGAGCAGTGGCCCCCGCAACCTTTTGGGTGTCAAGGGACCGGTTCTGTGGAGAGAGGTTTTTCTGTGGACCGGAGAGGGTGTGGTTTCACATGCTGCCTGAATCCTGCAGATGGGGCTTCGCTCAGACATGGGATTCACTTACCTCCCCTACTGGTTCACAAATGTGAGGGCACGCTCACCTTCCACGCATGGTCAGGCTTCCACACTTGCTCACACGCATGCCTTCTGCGCACGCGGACGGCCTCCAAAACATGGCTAAATAGGATGAGCGGGGCCTACCGCAGTTGCCACTACCATCTGAATCCCACCACTGGCTTCTCTTGTTTCTGTGGCCCGGTTTTTGGCATCCTGCAGCCCGGTGCCGGACCATGGACCAGGAGTTGGGGACCTCTGCTTTAGAGAACCGTTAGATAAGAGGCAGCCCAGAGCTGCATAATGGGAGGAGAAAGAGGCTCAGGAGGGACCCTTCCTAGTTTCTCAGACTGTAAAAGAGACGGTGGGAGATTTGTATTTTCAGACTTACAAGATTCAATACAATATTAATGTAGCTTTGGATAAGAGAAGTAGTGGGATTCAAATAATTTAACAACCGGTTTGCCCAGAGTCAGGTTGGCTGTCGTGGCCCATCCCCGTACTCCAACTCCACTGCACATGCGGGATGAGCCTCCGTTGACGGCCAACCTGACCCTGGGCAAACCGGTTGTTAAATCTCCCCGCCCCCCGCTATCAAAGTGGATCATGGGTGCTGTGCTGCAATGGAAAAACGGGAAATGGAGTGGCCGGCATGAGGGAAGGAGGAAAGTGGCCTTTTCCTTCCCTTGTGCCTGCCACTCCGTTGCCCGTTACTCCATTGTAGCACAGCGCCCAGGATCCACTTTGATAATGGGTTGGGTGTAATTTAACAACCAATTCGTCCGAACCGGTGCGAATCAGCTGAATCCCACCACTGGATAAGAGTCTGCACAGCCCTCAGCTGCATAACAGGTGCAGAAAGAGGCTCAGAAGGGAACTTCCTTAGCTTCCTAAGGCTGTAAAACAGACGCTGGGAGATTTGTATTTTCAGACTTGCAAAATTCTGTTAGTGTAACTTTACAATAAAATAAAAGTAGCTTGTCTGGTTGTGTTGTGTCTGGTCTAGCTGGTAAGGCTGACACATATTGTGCTAATGTGTCTTTTAAGTTATCAGTAAAACCACCGCAATTTCCCTCTCTTTCTCCATCCCACACAACCACACACTCACCCACAAGGACAGAAACACCATCGTTCTTTTGTTCAGCATTTGTATATATTATTTCAATATCTATCTACTTCTATTGGTCCGTATCGGACTTGGCACAGAAGAGGTCACATATCCCTCCCAACAAATTGTGCGTTTGGCCACGAGGGGCAACATTGTGCTTAAACCACAACCGGAAGAGGAGAAACAAGTGCAAAAGAAAATCAGAGGGCCGCTGTTTAAGGAAGCATCTTTTTTAGGTCCTAGAGGATTGTCTCTCGGACAGTTGATGCCGAGTCAATACAGCAGGACTGGAAGAAACATCTGGAGAGGCTCAGAGTAGAAACAAACGTCCCATCACACTTCTGCAGCCCCAAATGCGAAACTCTTCACCCACACATTGGCAGCGGGTGCGAACCGTACAACCAGAGGTGGGCGCCACGTAATTTAACAACTGGTTCGCCCCAGCACCGAAAATGTCAGCGTGCGTGCATGCGTGCAAACCTTCTGCCTTGTGCTTTGCTCGCATGTGCACTTGCATGCATGCATGCGGCTTAAAAATGCAGCTAAATGGGATGGCACAGCACTGGGGCGGAGGGGCGGGGGCAGGTCCACCCCCCAGGTCACAACTACCGGTTCACACGAACCGATACGAACCGGCTGAATCCCACGCCTGCATACAACGGAAAAGGGAGATTGTGTAGTTGAAAATACACACCGTACATTCCCTTCCCAGAGCTTATTTCTAGATCCTGATGCCACGGAAGGCTCACCAACCTTGGCAGTTGGCGGTTTTAAATATAATTCTAGATTTTTAATCTAGATTTTATCCTCCACGACCACGCAGCGCCAGCCCCGTAATCCATACAGAATTGAAAAGGGTGAGGTTTTTAAGGAAGTAAGATTTGCTGGTAACTTTCTCCCTCCAGATGTGGCATGGGAAAGCTGGACCCTGTCTTAAAATTTGCCAGCCATTTTTCGGAAGGGTGTACAGGTAGTCCTCGACGTATGACAGTTTGTTTAGTGACCGTTCAAAGTTACGACAGCACTGAAAAATTTTAACTTATGACCGTTTTTCAGAGTTACAATCTTTGCAGCATCCCCCTGGTCATGGGATCAAAATTCAGACGCTTGGCCACTGCTTCATATTTATGACAGGGTCACGTGATCCCCTTTTGCGACCTTTTGACAAGCAAAGTCCATGGGGAAGCCAGGTTCACTTAACAACCGGGTTACTCACTTATCAACTGTAGTGATTCACTTAACAACAGTGGCAAGAAAAGTCAGAGCAAAAGCCGACATTAACAAATGTCTCACTTAACAACAGAACTTTGGGGCTCAATTGTGGTCATATGTCGAGGACTACCTGTATGGGCAAAAATGGAATACAGGTAGTCCTCGCTTTACGAACATTCATTTAACAACTGTTTGAAGTTACAACGGTCCTGGTAAAAGTGTCATGTGACCAATCCTTGCATTTATGATCGTCACAAAATCCCTGTGATTACATGATCAGAATTTGGGCATTTGACAACCAGGATGTATTTACGATCATTGCAGTGTCCCAGAGTCTTGGGAACATCATTTGCCGCCTTCCCAGGGGTCTCCTGACATGCAAATATCATGGGGGAAGCTGGACTTGCTTAACAACGGTGGCAAAATCATAAATGTGGGTGTGACTCACTTAATGACCGCATCACCCAGGTATGGAAGTTTTAATCCCGATTGTGGTCATAAATCGAAGACTACCTGTCTGGGGCAAGAAGACAGATTCGCTTAACAGCTGCGTGATTTGTTTTAACGGTGGGGGCAAAAAGGTTGTAAAATTAGGTGCAACTCACTTGGCGGTGATGGTCCCCATTGTGGTCGTAAGTCAAGGAGCACCCGTCCCAAGTACTGTGCTGCAGAAGCAGAAACTGCAGCCCCAAAGTGCAACATTTGTGCAGGAATACGAAAGAACGGATGATTGTTAAGAGCAAGGGGGGGTGTATTCTATTAAGTCAAGAGTGGGCCAACCGATAATTTATGGGATGGGGGGGATGGGGGGTCTAAGAAGGCAACTGGATGGGGTGGGGGGTGGGAAGCCAATTGCACCAAATTTTGTTGCTTAAAAATGGCAACTCCAACAAGGAGTAGTCCCTCCTGCCAGTCACCGGGACGTAGCCCCAAAACGGCTCCATCCATTCCCAAATCCGAGTGTCGGGAAGGGCTCATTTGTGTC